TCGAGAGCCCAACGAGACGCCCGGATTCGCAGGTGCCGCGGCAAAGTGTGGCGGAAGGGATAGCGGAAATCACAGATGGGAGGGTCATCAATGGAGACCACTTGCAGGCCGCCAGACAGGACTAAGGAGAAACGCAACACGTCGAAAGGCTCCAGAGGTGGGCAGCAATCCCGCGGCATGCTCTTTGGCGCGCAGAAGTCCGTGCTTGCACCATGCTTCTTCGGATCGAGCAGCAGAATGAGATCCGCAGCAAGTCCAGCTGCAGTCTCAACGTCCTGCACTGTCGGCACTCCGCACCTCAATTCCGCACCTCAGGATGCCAAGTGGTTCAACGTAGCTGCGCACCACCTCCGAAAGGATTCGGAAGAGAGGGAATCGGCGGGTCTCCCGTCATGCTCCATGACGACACCCAGATCACAGCCCTCAAGGCTGGCAAGGTGCTTGACAGCTCCGGATACGGGCTGAAAGGACCCCCATACAAGTCGGCACCTACCAAAACCCATTAGGTGACGCTAAGCTTACCCACGCTGGCATATATTCGACCGCAAGCTTGGCATAGTGAGCGAGGATGGCACACGGTATCCGTGGACACAGGAGGCGTGGCACGCCCACGCAGTGCGACTGCACGGCATTGCAAACAAGCCTCTTCATAACAGTGATTGCAAGGCCACAGTTCCTGCAACCCGGACGATCTCCAAAGCCTGCACCCCAAAAAGTCGAAGGTTTGAAATAAGCTGGCCGATCCCTTAGTCTTCCCACTGGGACCATGAGGCACCAGGGTCGCCAAGGTCGGTGGTGTTGCGGAGGCACTCGTGCATCCAAGCGACTGCAGCCGCGCGTTTTCCAGCGGGTCCCACACAAGCAGCGCAAAAGTTGCTCGGGTGCAGCACGGAACAGCTGAAGGTGAGGTGTTGGTCGCCGTCAGGAACCACAGCGAGGGTCTCACGGTACAGGGACACGACTGCATAAAGGCGGAATGTTCACCCTGCTCAAAGGCGGCCAAGACCCTGATGCAAAAAGAGCACAGAAGCAGGCATGTGCGTGCCAGGGAGATCCGTTTACTGCGGAATACTTTAGTCCTTCCCCGCAACCTCCTCCAAGGTTGACTGGGCCCCAAATAGTGGCGAGAGCCGGGGCTTCGCACAGCGACTACCACTACTATCTTCGCGGGACCAAAGCTGAGTCGGTAGCCACGGGCTCCGAAAGCATGAGTCAACAGAATGCACTCAAGTGTGGTGACTCGCCAGGTGGCGTCAGCCACAAGAACAGATTTGGCGAGATTGTGTGCCCAAATCACGTCTTCAAGACCGTGTGACACGATCCCCGTCATCCGGATCGCTGCTAGGCTCGCTCAGGTCAGGTCAAACCGACCGTCCAGTCGTCCCAGTGAATAGTCTGGCCGGGTGCGCCCCTGGACGCGTCTCCCGGGCTTTGTCCCGCCAGGACAGGATCCTAGGAACGTCACCGCATAAACAAATCGGCTCAACTAGAACCTGGCCTCGAGCCTGGTGTGTCACTATCGGAAGATGGTCGCTCGCCAAATACATGCATGTATGGCTGTTCAGCTCAGCGGTGAGCGATTCGAGCCAGGGGGGGAGTCTTGCTCGTGACAGAGCTGTTGGCTGCTCGAGTTGCTGTGCAACTGGTCCACCGACGCTGGGTCCGGTAGCTTGCTGCTCATCGGCACCCGCACGCCAAGCAGTAAGTAAGGCCCCTCACCGCGCAGTAACATGCCGAAGCCAGTCGGCCAATAAAGTCATTGAAGACCTCCCTGTTGCTGCGCACCACCGCCCAAACGCCCTGGTAAGATGCGAGTCTAGCAGGACAAACGTCTTCTTCCGTCCCGCAGCTGCGCAGGCAGGGCATTCACCGGATGACAAGCGAGTCGGCCAAAAGAGTCAGCATCAAGCATGGGACTCGGGAGCGTCGGCGGGACAGTCAGGAACAAAGAAGGGACTGATTCCGGAACAGAGAAGGTAAAATGTAATGCTTAAAACCGCTGAATGTATCTGCAAGAATCTGCAAGGCTGAATAATGTTCCAAACGGCTACGGGTTGCTTATAGTTAAGAATTTTGCATACTGTGTTTACAATTTACGATCGTCGACTGATGCTCCGGCAATAGACCCACGTTTTGTCCGAATCGCGAAATGAGGGGGCGTGTTTAGAATGTATGTGAACCCATGAAGGCGCGTGTTCAAGATACATGGTGAACCGGAATCGCCAAATCAGGGGGCGTGTTTAAGATATATGATGAATCCGGGTCGCGACATGAAGGGGGTGTGTTCAAGATGTGTGATGAGTCCGAATCGCTGAATGAGGGTGCGTTTTTGTGATATAGGATGAAAAGAACCTCCAAATGGGACATGTTGAAGACATATGCTGAACCGGAAGGGTTGAGGCGGGCGGGAGGGGCCAGGAGTTGAGCTTGGTTTGCTTAGGGTCTTTGTTCTTATGTAGGGTGTGTGCTGACTTCTGTTCCTGACTCTGCGCGGCTTCGTCCTAGACTAGGCCCCGGTCTGTTCTGGACTATTTTTGGCGGGCTTCGCCGAAGTTCGGCAACTGAGGCTTCCTGCGAGGTTCCCCTTCGGGAGGTCGTTTTTTCCTTCATGGGTTGGCCAACATGCCACGAGTAGGCAAAACGGGCTTCATAGTTCAACTGCAACATATTGCAACATCAATCAATCGCTCACCCTCCCAGCAGCACACAAGTTCATGCTGGAGCCATCGAAACACGATGGCTCGAAGAGGCTCACACAATACCAGAAAAGGGAGGAGTTTTCGGGCAAGGTCTCAGTCGCAGGGATTCGGTAAAGCGTGTTTTCAGACTGCGTGGAATCACAACCGTGAAAGGGGACTAGACCTTGAAACATGACGATATAAATCTGAACTGTCACGCACGACTGTAGTTGTAGTTAAGCCGAAGCATCAAACTACCACGTAATGCTCAGCATGTGGAGTGCCTCGCATTATCCGATCGGAAACGGTGAAAATTCTATCTTGCATGGCACTGAAATGGCGTATGGGCAGCAAATGGAGCGAGCTGGGATGATCTTGCATGGCTCTGCGGCGCGTCTAGATTACGGCACTCAAACGTTGAGTGTTGCTCGATGGCTCAAGGTGCCCTCTGGGCTAACAGCTACTATGCAAGTGCGGGGGCTCATCCACAGTGGCACAGACAGCGGAATGTTGCCCCCCTCGCCCCCACACCTGCTTGAGACTCTCGTGGTCTGCGGCGACGGCGAAGTAAATTAAGGCAAGATGTCGAGTTTGGAGGACTATTCCGATTTACGATGGTCTCCAGGGAGTAGCATCTTCCTCGCTCTATCTCCGTCTCTCGCAGCTGTCACATCCAGTGACGAGCATGACTTGCTTGATTACCTTCGAGCCCCTCCCTGCTGTTTATTCTTGGCACCACCCTTCACCTCATACGAAACATGTTCGCAACATGCATGTGCAAATACTTGTCGTGCATCCGTCGTCAGCGCTGTGAACACTGCCAATCCTCTGCTCAGAATCGCTGCAGCTGCCCAGCACTTTGAGCACTTTCTCCGGCGGCTGCCAGAAGGTCTGGGTCCTTGCAACCAGGAGACACAAATCCCTAATCTAGACATCGCTTCGCTGCCCCATGTCTACAAGGTACCATGGAGTAACTGCGAGCTCACCAAACCAACCAGAAACTCTGGAGTTTCAGACCTTCGCACACTGCAGCAGGATTCCTTGTGCCAGTGCTCCGGGCGCAGTGAAGCCATCATGCACCGCCGCACAGTGCCTACACGGCATCGTGATGCGGAATTCCCAGCTTCTGCGCGCACGCCGACTCGCGCTGCTGCCGTCACGAGCAGAGATTTAATCCTCCTCCTGAAATATCTCTAAGGCCTGGAGGGCTAGCCACCTATAATCAACTCCAAGTCTTGCCGCAACTGTACCACTCAAATAGTTTCTTCCGATCGAACTGGCTTGACCCGATAATCGCTCGCTTGGTTGCGCCAAACGCTCACCGCAGTCTGTAACCGCTCGACCCCAACCCGACGAATGCTTACAAAGACTTGCCCTACAACACTCTTTCCTTTGCGTCTGGTGTTTCGGGCTACAACACCCTTCGTTTGGGCATTCACATAGCCCCGCCCTTTGTATTTCTTGTGCTAAGGCTTCGCATTCGACTCTTATGTGTTGGGTGTTTCGTGCAACCTTCACTTGTGTTGAATGCGCAATGATGCGCTTATGTGAACTCCTTGTGAGCGTATGGCTGGAACCCTTTCATTGGATGCAGCTGGATGCTGTATTGCCCGAGCATGGTAGTAGTGACACTATGGTCCACTATGGTCGTTTAGTTCAAGGTACAGTAGAGGTTTAGTTAAGTTGCTGGCTGCGTGGTGCTAATTCTCAGCTTGGGTCTATACCGGCATAATATCTCGCATCTCTCCCCACTTGTGTTTCCCAACACCCCCGATGTGAACTCAATGATTACAGCACAATATTACACAGCATGTGATCCATTCCGCGGGGGCAAGCGGCAAGAGGACATCGGAACAGCAGCAAACACATCAAATCGCGTGCTGCATGCGAGCTTCTCAGAGGCTATTACGCAGGAGAGGTCTCCAGCGACGATGGCAAGTGCCGGTTTACTACCTCAAGAGCAGCCTCGACATTTCGAAAGCGTGCCTGTGCTGCGACGGCACACTCGGCAAGATGTTGCCATGGCACGGACAAGCTGTAGACTTCTGCACTGGAAGCTCCATAGCTGTCGTCGAGTTCTCGCTTGACCATCGCTGACCCAGGCTGGCCGATGAAGACCTTTAGACTCTAGGTATCCTGCAGTTGAACTTTGGCGTATGTACTCTTGTCCTGAGCTGTGCAAGCCGCAGCAAATCTGAAGATGTGGCGAGATTTGTTGATGGCAGGTTGCACGCTGGGTTTCCTTGACGACTCACTGGCGCAGACTAAACCCGTGTCACTGTCTCTGCTGCCTTTGTGACACAGCAAGACTGCGACGCAAGCCTGGAACTCTGCCATCCGATCTTCGACCTTGCCACAGTCGTCGGCCGCAACCCAAGGAGTCGCAGTTCATGCCGGGGGCAAGCTGCACTACAACATAACTACTTGACGACCCTGCCTGGCGCAGCAGCGAAGCTTTTCGCTCCTTAACTGACATAAGAACTGGTGAGGGGGAGAGTGCTTGTGGCTGAACTGCTTGTTTCACACGGGCTCCAAAGCATGCGCGAGCAGACAGCAGCCAGATGAAGACCACTGGAACAAACGTTCTCCAAGGAGAGAGTCACATGCAATGTAGCCTAGCAGCTATAACCAGGCGCACACGATCCGTCACCAGGTTCGTAGGATGGCGAGTGCCCTTGCAGCGCTTGACCTCAAAGGGAGCTTGTCAAGAATCTAAGTGAGCTGTTGGAGTTCGTGCTGGAAGTGGGTCCAGTTAATTTGACTGGTGTCTACCGCCCCGAAACCGAAGACCAAGAGCGCCATATGCGGCATGGCAACATTACCGGCATACGGCAAAGCATATTTCTCAAACCTCATGCCGACATTTTCAACACTGTGCCGGGGGGCGGCTGAACATGCAAATTACAGCGGCACCGAAATTTGCCTTTTAAGGCATGGGCAAGTCGCACTGAAACTTTCAAGTCGAAGCCTATACTTTTTGTGCAGATGGCAAGACAAGTGACCCCGCGAGTCAATCGTGCTGCTGTCTGGGGCTTGGACCATGCTCTGAGCCTGTTCGATGCGCTTCATCTTCAGAAGCAAAGACTGTGAGGTGTCCTGAAAAGAACTCGGCCGGCGGTGTTCATCAGTCCAGGTTGGCGGCTCGCCTGCACATCCTTGAGGACCGCGAGCAACAAAGGATCCTCCTCTGTAGGTCCCTGCAGGGGGCAATACTGCTCTGCCCGTGCTCTCTGCGGTGTCACGCCATATACGGTTGCCGACCTGATCCCGAATAAGCTTCGTAACGTTGTCGTCTTTAGGCCGATTCGATGGCTTTACCGTGCACCTTACAATAAATATACAATACATGCGTCAATGGTCACAACTTCGGAGATCTTCGAAGCAGTCAAATACAAATCAATCAAGGATGGTTTTGACTGGTGCTTCCTGTTCCTACCGCTATGGGTCGTACTGCTGCTTCACGATCCCTTCTCGTCCCGCGGTCTGACGTCTTGCAAGCTTCCGAGACGCATGCGTGTCCAAACCATGAAGCGGCTGAGGTGTCAGACGAATGAAGCGCACATTCAAGCCATCTGCAGTTCATTGAGGCCTCTTCGCTTGCTTTCGGTCTTCGAACCTGAGACTACCACTGTCAAGTGGCAAACGTGGAGGTAAGTATCTCGAGGACTTCGATTTGCAAGATGAGCCATGTAATTCGATGTGCCGCTCGGCACAGAAGCAACATGAACTCAAAACTCAAACAAGGGTCAAACGCCTCCGACATGTCACCGGATGTTATGTAGCGGCTAGCGGCTAGTTTGACGTTACTGCTCGGGGCATCGTACGCGTGTTCGTGGCTACCTCATGATATGGTCACTAAGCTGCAGTAACCGAAAGCGAGCGCTTGGCAGGTCGACCCTTACAGGCCCTTTACCATGGTTTGTTCTATCGAGGGGCTCCGTTCTCTTATGCGGGGGACTATGCAGAGGGAGATGCTGTTGACGAGTTTCAACAAACCTTGTCCAACCTGCAGTTTAAACTGCCGAAGTTGGTTGACATGTCGGCACTTTTATGTTGGTGTGTGGCGCAAGTCCCCTCAGCCACGGCCTTGCGGTGCTGCCTATCGGGGACGAAACACGTCTGTAAATGGCATCCGGCGCCGTGGTCTGGCGATGTTCTGGGCTCGCGGCGCTTACTGGAGTGGTATCCTCAGAATGCTCAGGGAACGGCCCTCCGCACAGGTGCAGCTTGCAGTCGCGAATTGTGTTCACAGAGTCTGGGCCGACGACCGGTGCAGTGAGCTGCGGACTGAGCAAGCTGGCAGGGCTCGTTGGGTCTGCCAAAGTCTCCTCCTCCCATACGTAGAGACGTAGGGGCAACCTACGCTAATTGCAAACTCCCTTCGGAGTCGGAACCTGTCTCGAGTCTTTGAACGGGATCCAGAGAATCGCTAGGGCTAGGGCTACCCAGTCTAGTCTAGGAGCACGTCACACTCCTGTGATCGTGGGGAAATCGTGGGAGACCTGGCCACGGCGGCTGGCAGCAACCAGGTATCATTTGTGTGCACTCCAGAAGGGCAGACTCTCTGCCTCTGATATCGTCTGATGCTCTGCAGGAATCACAACGGCGTGGTCAATGCTTCCGAGCTTTGGAGACCCTAGTGGTCGATTTAGGATGAAATATCCCACTACTGACCTAGTTCGGCACACCTGCCACTTTACTGATCTATGTCTGTGGCTGCCAAGAACTATTCAAGAAGTGCCATGTTGTCTAGCAGTCCAGCACACCCCGCCTGCTTGATGCGTCAGCACCAGAGCTTCCCAAACAACGCAATGTCTGCAGCCCGTCCATCAAGTGCATCGAGCGCTTCAATGCAACGGTGGGCTTGTGCAGCACCCTCAGGAACAGTCCGGATTGAAATTGTCGGAATAGACTTTGGAAGACGACTGCTGGTTCAGATCCGGGGTATGGGCCACACTCAGGCAACGGTTCAGGTCCGCAGTGTCTGCTGAGAATCACACTGTAGCTCCAGCAGGGCTCGCAATGGATGGCATGCTCGGTGCGGGTATGTGAAACTGAAGCTGAACATGGCTAGAGTGACTCGCACGACGGAAGCGGGAGGACTCAGATTCCGTAACGTTTGGATTTATTGCAGGCTTTCCTGGCCAGGTTGCTGCGACACGGAGGTGGTCAAGTCTGCGATGGAATCCCTGCATGGCAGCGGCAGCTCCTCGTCGAAGCAAGAACACGGTTCGACTGTGCATACCCTCCGTCATCCCTATTCTGCTCCCCAACTGAGTCTTTTTCCTGCTTAGGCCCCATGGATTTTGCGAACAGCGAAGACAAGCGAAGATGACAAGTCGTCTTCGATCCGAGCTGAACACTCCAAAATGCTGAGTCACGAGGTTTCGGTGCCCTGCGTCTCAAAATTTTTCAGTTTGCAGGACCTGCAAGCCCCGCGTTTCCAGCTGTTCAAAAAATAGGCAGCCCTGTGCGAATCCTTGACAAAGGTTGTTTACAAAAACTTGTTCTAGACATCCGAGTACTTAACCGGCGCCGTTCTCAGATCTAGATACCAGTATGAACAATCGACACCCCAGCGGCCTCATCCGACCATAGCCGTTCGACCCGTTCACGAAATAGGTTCGTTTCAGTGGAGCTGCAGGCTTCAAGGGTTGGAGGCATCTTTAGCATACGGATATCTAAGCATATTCACCGCCAGGCCCTCCATTTAAAACCCGGGCCGAATAGCTTAAAGGTCGTTTTACACTCACATCGTGAAGGACTCCGGGGAGCCACCCATGACATTGTTTACAGTCCATTACAGTTGCACACATCAAACGTCGCATCAGGTTACAGCGAGCAACCCGGGGGCTGCTGGGCAAGAGCCTACCTGAACAGATCGCAAGCTGAAGTTGCCATGAATTTCTTCAGAAAACTCCAGACCGGCCGCTGTATATGCCTCAGTCAGAGGCCTCAAATCTTTCAGGGGGGAGGGTGCTGCAAGTTTCTCTGTCAAGTTTCGAAAATCATACAATACTGCTTCATCGAAACATATGCTTGTTCTCAAGCCGGTGGCAGCTGTCGTTCGTACGTACCTGCTCGTAGAGATCCTAGTCTCTAGACTGCTTGCGTGTACAGTATATGTATATACATTTTTCTTTAGGGAGGGAGAGAGAGAGAGAGAGAGAGATCCAGCGCCACCTCCAGAGGTGTTTCCGCGGACTTGCGTCGTGCGAGCCTGCAAAGGTCCAAGCAATTCGACGCACAGTGATTTGGAGTGGCAGCAGGAAGCTTGTTTCGTTGATGATACGGGATTATTTTACTGTGCCCGGTCTTCCTCCCCGGCCACTGGACAATCGCCGTCTCTCGGCGTGTCCCTCCCCGACCGTCCCGGGCCAGTTCGATGATTTTTCGGTAAATCTCCTGAGACATCCTAAGAGAACAGCTCTCGGGCTTTCTTGGAACTTCCCCTCCGCTCGCCCGTCCCGGGCCCCACTTCGATGATTCTTCCATGTTCGTTCGTAGATGCTCGATGACTTCTTACAGAACGATGACCTGACGCTGGCACAACTCATGTTGTTTGAAGGGGCTAACTCGTGCCTGCTATGCTTGTCTGTCTACGCACACAACTAGTAATTATGAATGTCGGATGTAGCACAACAATGCACAACACCTTCTGGGAAACATGCTCTGTCAGGTTGTAACGAACTTGAGGCTTGAGGCCAGCGGGTGGAAAAGTACGAGCCAGCGGCGTCATGTTTGTCGGCGAGTGCATGGCTTGGTCTCTTAGCACTTCTCGGAGATGGGGTAGGGCGCCAAGCAACACGGAATCCAAAGGTCTTTCCAACGTCTCCAAGGCAACGGAAAGGTCAAGCAGCAGGCATGAAGCTCACGCATGCTTGAACAAGCACCGTCGGAAATCTGAACAGCCTCGGGGAAGCCTCAAGAGGCAGTTCATAACGCGGAGATGGTTTTAGCCGCGAATCCTGTGCAGAGGGCTCGTTTACAACACCGATGCATGAATCGGCTCAATTCTTGATGTAGTACGAAGGACTGACCAATCCCGTCCTTCAATGGGTTCACAGCATACTGTATGGCCACTTGTGAGACGATGCCCAGGGTACCTCATCGTTCAGAAATGAATCATGAACACAGCAAACACTGCTGGAACTGCATTCGTGATGCGGCCTTTGAAAGAATCTACCGTCCCCCCCGCCTGCTGGCAATCGGAAATGCTGTGACTGTGCCGGCGGTGGCTGTGAAGGCTGTGGAGGCAGTGGCAAAGAAGACGAAGAAGCCGATGGAGTCGCGGGAAGGGCCGGTCTGATTGGAGCGGCATTCGACGCATGATCTCCCACATGCTGGCCCAGACCGTCAATGTCGGCCAAGGTACATGGCTCCAGTTCCACTTCTACTCATCAAAGTTCCATAGCGGCTTTGTAGCGGCTTGCCAATGTTCCGCACACCTGAGCAGAAATTACAAACATTGCTTGTGCTAGGTTCTCCTGATTCCGACAAGCCCGAAGACAAGTTGCAGGTTCCAGGAGGCTGGAAAGACTGTTAGCTCGTCGGGCCGATGGGGAGGATCCCCGAAGGTCGGGAAGCATCTTTTGAAGGCGCTGGTGGCTGAGTTTTCCCGTTGTGTTTTCCATCCTGGCAAACAACTGGCCCGCTTCATCCTGCCAGCGCCGGTCTGGCCAGGAGTGCCACAGCTCGGAAAGTCACTGTGGAGCAAACTACGCAGCACAAAAGATGATGCTCTTGCTTCCGCCGTGGCACGGGTCACATCATTCACAGGGCAAAGCGACGGCAGCAGCATTTCGGGAATCCGAACTTTGTAGTATGGCCTCGGCCACATCAGCTGCGCACCAGAACATCATGTCAGAGTTCGCAAAAGACGTTGTAGATGTGTGTGGGAGGACATGTCTGCGACAGCATCCGACAGCTTCTGACACAACAACCACACCTTTCGAGCAAAGTTCCCGTCAGCTTGAAGGGCCTCTGTGCTCGACTGCCTGGCCGAGAGCCGCCCGGGAGTCGTCCATCGCCCTGACAGGAGAAGTGCAAAATTCCTGCAAGTACGCGGCCTCGAACGGCCTTGGGGAGTATATGCATTCATTGGCGCGTCGCGGGCCAAAAAAGATTAACTTCGATGGAGAAAGTGCACAAGTGTGCAATAGACATGGAAGCTTGCCCCAGGTTCGAAGCTCGTTGATCCCTCGGTGGCCTTTGCACGGAGCTCGGGGCTGGAGCGGCTCATCCAGGCATCGCTTCGAAATGGTGCAAACGAGCAAAGGACTTCAAACGCTATCGCCACGCTTTTGCTATCGTCCGATTGGAGCTCAGCGACATACCCATTGCCCAACTGTCTCGATGACTGTGCTACAGCTTGATTCGTGAAACTGAGGTCACACCATGGCCGGCAATCAAGCTCAATAGTACGGATGCTGGGTGACGAGTTTCAGGTCTGGGGCCTTCTTCAACTGTCTTGGGGTTTCGACTTGGGATTCCGGTTTCGCGGTTTGCGGCTTTTCGGCAGCTGATGTCTAAGTCTCTGGTTTGGAGGCGGTCCGGACCTTCACGGATCGCTGCCGACCGTTGCCGACTGCAAAGCCAGGCTATCCGGCAGGCTGGGTGGGTCTGGCCGCGGGCAGCAGGCTTCAACGACCGAGTAGAAGGCACAGGGACTCCTTCTCTCGGATAGCTCCGGTTTGTCAGGGCCTGTAGAGGGTAGGGCATGTTGCAACGCACTGCGCTTCTGAGAACTTTTTCGGTGGAAACGGATCAGCCCTTGGTTTAATTCGGGATTGGGTCCGCGATTCAGCATGCACTCGCCAGGCTATAAGGATCAGCAAGCAAAGGAACAGTTCAGATCAAGAGAAAGCATGGGCTTATAAGCCCGACACGTGCGAAAACCCAAAACCCCAAGAGCAGCAATTAGCGCTTGCGCCAGCCGAAAATCCTAACAAAAGTACATGGTTCCGTAAACTCCCATCCTCAGACGGGGTGCGAAAACCCCAGACAAGAAAAGAGTGGGTGGGTGCTGAAGCCCCAAACCCTTAAAGGAGTAGCCGCTGCCACAACAAAAACCCCTGAAAAGCTCAAGTGCGAAATGCAAAAGCCTAAGCCGAGTGTGTGGGTGCAAAATGTTGCAACACCGAGCTTGAATGGAGTGCATGGGTGCGAAACCCAAAATCCCTTAAGGAACCCCAAACCGTAACAAAAATGGGTGGGTGCGAAACCCGACACCCTAAAAGAACAAGGTGCTGAAACAACATACCCCTAACAAGTGTGGGTGGGTCCGAAAACCCACACCCTGAAAGGAGTGGGTGGGCGCAGAAACCCGAATCCTAAACAGAGTTTGTTCTCTGAACAAACCCTGAAAGAAGTGGGTGGGAACCAAGACATTAAAATTCTTAAAACGAGTCGGTGGGTGCAAAACCGGAAAAGGAATACAACAACACAAACCCTCCCTCAAAGATCCAAACAGGAGCAGGTGGGTGCGGAAACTCAACACAAGTTGTGTATGTGGTGCTGAAGCAAGACATAGCGAACCTCTACTTTCGACCTGATCTGAGAGCTGATGTTCCCGCCCGAAGATATGGTCGGTTGTGGATCTTGAGTGGGACTGGGCATACATGACATATATGGACTCCGTGCAGCACACAAACAACAGAAATCGCATACTTCCGAGCCACTGTTGCAGTAGATCCTCGCAGCAGTGTAAAGCTTCCGTGCTGGATCCGCCTTTCCACAGCCCTGCAATGCCATACTGATCATACTGGGAGGTAGTTTTTGATACTTGACTTGACAGTTGGAATGCAACCCTTGTGATCGACTCGTCTGTATGGTTCGCCGAGGAACTGAGTTTGCAGTTTGCATGTCCTTCTCTCGAGGCGCGGGCAGTGCCACTCCACGTAGACTTGCGCACTACCAGTAGCCCGAAGCTCACGATCACAACACTGCGCTTGAGTGGAATGATCACTGGCGGGCCTCTGCATATTTTGAATTGATTAAATTACTTGATCATGGCGGAGGAAGCAACTTTGCAAGCTAGGCTCCGCGATAAGATAAACATGTTGGAATGCGACCCAATCACAGGCATCCGAAGCTTGGTCCCAGCCACTTGCACTGGCGGAGCCTAACGGTCTTCCATTGTCGCAGGAGCAACTCGAGTGACAAGCCCTGTACACTGCGACATCGCACTGGCTTGAGTCACCACGACCCGCACATGACCCGCTCAAGGCTAAAGCATGCAAAGAAGCGAAGCAAACGGAAGTGATGGCGCTAACCGAGGCTTACATGAGAGAAGCCCGTTCGACAACCGACATCACACCCCTCCTGTCACCGTCACCTCGCCTTGGCAGCAAACTGAGCCCGGCGCAAAGATCTCCACGCAAACTTCACGATATCTCAACCAGCGATGCCAAGCTTGCTTTCCAAGCCACGCACCTTGTGCTCCCCGCGCGGCTGCCATAAGATCTGCGCGACGAGCCCAAGGAAACCGAGTCCTGCACGAGTCGCAGAGACGCCTGCTTTCCCTTCATCTGCACTGCGCTCCCACCTATGACAATGACCAGGTTGATGATGTGTCGACTCAGCACTTGGGACTCAACCTGCCCAAGCAGCTCAAGAACAGCGAGACGTCACAGCACAGGCCGGTGCACGCGGACCCGTAGCATCACCATTGCCTTGTTGCCCTAGCAACTCACAAGTTTGCAGACTGTTTCGGCATGGGCCTCTGCACACCGGAGCAAGTTGGAAGCGCAAAGCCACGAAGCCCAGGCGCCGAAGAAGGCTGTAACAAGCATGACCAAGTGTTTCACCCAGGTCCTGTCGCCAGCAGTATCGCCATAGTGCTTTTGTAAGCAATACGCTCGTTCTCTCCGCACTTGACTGAGACCTGAGGTGAACTCTGTCGGCCACACATGACACACGTGTGGTGGTTGACCCAACATTGTGATGCATGAGGCCAAAGCTGGAACAATCAAACGACCACATGTAGGGTTGTCTTGCTCTGTAACTGTAAGGAAGCTGGAACTCAAAGGGAGAATTTCAGCAGCAAGCCTTTCCCAAAACGTTTTGATGTTGCTGGCTATGTCGTAACGGCGTAACAAGTGCGTTGCAGGAAAAGCTTTTCTACTCGTTTTCAAGACAGACCGCTGCATTGCTTGAGTGCTCTGAATGAACCATGGCACGCGCTCCTGTGAGGCGTTGACTTCGTTGGCCCGTGCTGGTCGGATTCGATTGGTATTGAGTCTGGCAATGCCGGGCCCTTTGAAAGGCGTTGTCCGAGAAGCTCGAGGACTGGAAGTTGGGAACTCGCGTGGTGCACTGTTTTGTCATTTGGTGATCTGGACCCGCCCTGTTGGCGACGGATCTGCCGCTCTGCTGCGCGATTTCTGATTGTTTGGGAGGTTAGGCTGCATCCCTGCTACTTCTGCTACTAGTGGTGCTCAGTAGTACTAGTGCTACTACTGCGACGACGACTACTACAATCATGATCATCATGTCATAACAATATCAATAGTATTCAATAGTAACAGCAAGCGGTGATGAAAATCATAGAAACACAAGTCACTAGCAACAAAATCCACCCCTACTCCGACTACTGCGGCTGCTGCTGCTACTGCTACTGCTACTACGACGACGACGACGACGACTACTGCTACTCCTACGACTGCAGCCGCTACGTAACGAAGCCGTCCAGGTCATGGCCCCTGCATTGCAGGACATTGCCCATACTGGTATGGATCCGGAACCAGGAACAGGTCTCGCGACTTGCGACATGTACCCAAGATATCAAACGGTGCACGTCTGCCTTCATCGGCTGCTGTCATGTGCGTAGGGGCGAACTATTGCAGCTCCCTTTCAGTACTTGCCCCATGGACAGAGGGGCTGAAGATTGTGCATCGACCGAATTGAAAAGATTCTTTTCACGAGATTTCATGGCAAATCAATGACGGGCAGTGAAGGGACGCGGTCGCGAGTAAGCCACGTGCCGGCCTGCAGAAGTACCCCGCAAGCAATGCAAGCGGGACTCCGAGGGTGATACCTGCCAATCAAGGGCAGTCTCCAGCAAACGCCAGCGTCTACATTTGTAGCATGGACATGCAGAATCTAACCCCTACACCTGCCTCCAAATTGGTCCCAACCCTTGTAGGAAGCACCCAGTGCGGAATCCAGTGGCCTGCAGGATTGCAAAGTCGTCTTACGTCTTACGTCGCGAAACTGCCAGATACACGGATTCTGGCCTCTGCAGTGCATACACCATAATGCCTGCGAAGAGTCCAAGCACAAGACACTTCGTTAAACATCTGTAATCATCTGGATTTACTTTACACTGAGACTGTGCTTTTCGCAGCTAGCCGGCTCGAGCACAGTACCGAACATGACCACGAACGAAGGCGCAGTTTATCTGCAACAAAAGACCAGTGAAGATCTGGCATGCACGCCTGTCACAGCCACTCCCAGAAACAAGCCGAATACGACGCCCAGCACCTGCCAGGTCTTGCAGCCATGGTGAAACTAAGCACCAACTCCAGCAATTCTGCTCATCGCACTCCTTGCGACTTCATGTTGGCCAGTTCTTATTCCATCGTCATACGGATCCCATTTCCACGGCACTCTGGCCTCCAAATGTACACAGTGCACTAAGGCCTGTACTGACTAATTTGCCAAGCGAAGAAGCAACAACAAGCAAGGTAGTGTGAAGCTGTGAAGGAGTTGGCAATGTCTCAAGACCGTGCCGCTTTGTGTCAGTGTGTCGGACACATGAATACGTAGCGCGACAGATAAGGTTACTGTTCTCGATGCTCTGAGAGATTTCCGATGCCGAGCGATGTATCGCAAGCGAACTGATCCCTGCGATATGCGGTGAGCCACCTAGATTCGAGGAAGATCAACATCTGTTGCAAGCTCTTGCTTGGCCTTTTCGATGCTCTCCCTGCACCTCTGGGCCAACACCTGCACAGAATTGAAGGTACGACGTGGTACCACGAGTGAGCTTCAGCGCAAAGTCTTCATACAGCATTCAGTGTGGAAAGTTGCTTCTTGAGAACGGAGTCGGCGGACGGTTAAACTGAGTTCGGCGCTGCTGCTACCGTGCCCCAGAGCACGCAGAAAACCAGCACAATCACCTGAATGAATTCTTGGGCTACGCACTGCTGTCATATCCTGACTTTAGATCAAAAAGATTTAGCCACATGGCTCAAAAACGATTAAAAACTAAATCGAACGATTCAACGGTACCTACGCAAGAGGGGTAGTGAAGCGTGTGCGGGTGATGGATCAAAAACGGAGATTGAATCAACAAATAATTAAACTGGAACAGAAATTGTAGTAGTAGTATTCATTCAGCACGC